TAAATATAAGCTTGGGCAACCTTTTACTAAAAACTATATTAGTAAAATAAATTTTACTAGATATTTAAATGTACATACCTGCAATTAGAATTTTTGCACAATTTATGCTGCAGTTTAGAATATGTATGTAATATAATCTTTGTAAGAAAATATACATGTACAAACATAAGGAAATGTTAATTTCTTATTAACATTGATTTCGTTGATATCTATGTATGTTTTTGTTAGTTTTGATAAATACACATCATTATTCTTTATACATTGGATTATCCGGATTTTTGATTATCCGGATGCCTATCGACAACAATTAGTCCGGTTAAACGAAGTTCTATGGTATGTGAATCCCCACGATAATATCAGAACTAGTGGTGCTTGGCATCGTGCCTTAAGGCAAATTGCTGAAACTTTCCGTATCAAAATTTAAAATTTTCAAAAAAGATTCAATTTTCTTTTAGAACTCTGAAAAAATCGATCTTTGAAATTTTTTAAATTTTTGAGAAAAGTTGACCTTTTTAAAAAATTAGATTTTTTTATACTTTGAAATATTTTGGAAATTTCGAACATTTTTCCAAAGCAATCGCGATACGTTAGCAGCGCAGAAACGAAATATAAAATCGGCGCCGCGTGGCAGTATAACGGATAAACACTGGTACGGAACCTATATAAAAGTATACAAAATTTGTTCTTATTATTAAAATATCCATAAAATATGTGATAATTTGATGTGTATATGTCTAATGATCATTTTTGTCAGTCAAATAACGTTTTTTTTAATTTTTTATTGGATCTCAGAGACCGCTACACCTGCCCCTTACCTAAAACTTCATCAGTTCTTACCAAAAATTTCATACAAATAAAATGTTAAAATCATACAAATCGGACGCTCCGATCTCACGAAAAATCAATTAGTACTTTTGGCACTTTTTTAAAATATTTAGACATGCAAAAAAATCATTTTCAATTTTTTTGCGATTACTATGACCTACCCTACGGAAAGTTAAAAATTCACATGGGTTGAATCAAGAAAACTTATGGATTTGATTTTGTTATGGCAAGGCATACATAGTATTTTTCATATAAATTGGTGCTAAAAACTGTAAAAATTCTATGTATTTACTGCGCAGTCAGGCGTTTAACATGTAAAATATAATAATACTAACTTAACTCGTATATTATTATGTCACATTACAAAGATGCACTTATGATAAGATTCGTTTTTTAAACGTTTGTGCGTTTTCTGGGTTAGGTTTTCTATCTAAACTGACTTCTGACAGTTTTTAGTACCACTTTATATGAAAAATGCTACGTAACATAGCCTTCCATAACATTGGTCTATTTTACCGCAGAATCAGCCCAATAATGTATCAAAGAAATTTTTTTATCAAAATTCTTTGAAAAACACTGTTCTGAATGTCACACGTGTATGACTGATACGGTCCTACATTAAAAGTTTTTTTCTTTTATCAAATTTTGTTTGTCAGACATATATGTCTGACATGGCTCATGTATAACCTATTAGTTTCAGACACATATGAGTGAACTATAAAGGTGTTAAGAAACATAAAGAGCAATAGTTAATAACAGAAAATAAATCATTTTACACTTATCAACTTCACTTTTCACTTATCACTTTTATTATTATTTATTTTAAGGATCGAATACTCTAATGAGTTCTTTAATACTTCAAATGAATGATAAAATGTATTCATTATAATATTGTATAAACAATGGAAGCAAACTACTATAAGATAGATTAAATAACTAAAACCAGGAATAATTTGGTGATTTTTCATACGTGTAATTAACATTATTCACAGATTTATTTAACAAAATAAACATATTTTTTATCAGTTTAATAATTGTAAAAATGAACAGCGTTGCTTCTGTAGCAATGTTGAAAATGTTTTAGGAATAATTTGAAGATTTTTCATACACGTATTTATTAGGACTATTCACTGATTCATTTTTTAAAGACCAGGCGCAATGTTTATTATAAAAGTTAATAATTTCACTGAACACATACCTTGAAAGACCAGATATACTTTATTATTAAATAGTTTATATCAGACCTATAAAACAACTGATTGAAAAATGATTAATTTGGTATAATTTGTACTTATTTGTAAGATGTATATCGGTCTCATAATAAAAAGTGTATAACACAACATTTGTGAGAAGCGCAAACACATTTAATAATTTTTTTTTCAGATTAATATTATAAAAACCAAAGCGTTGCTTCGGCGTATTCTTGAGAATATTCTAGGAATATTTTCGACATTTTTCATTCATATAATTATTAAGATCATACACAGATTCATTGAATTAAATAAATAAATTATTTTTCAGTTGAAAAATTGCAAAAAGGAGTCAACGCTGCTTCTGTGGTATTTTTGAGAATCGATAGATCTCACGAAATTACGAAATTGAATACAATCAATATTTCAATATACTTTCTAGAATCTAGAAGATAAGAATGCATCACTTGTGCATAAATCGACACATAGGTACTGTGTACTGATTTTTTTCCCAAGAAGCATCAGACCCCGCTTGAACAAAAAACGAAACTAGTATATTAGTCATCGTCTTAGCTGATTTGCACCGCGCGAGCTACCTGCGTACGTCCCAGCTGCTACCTGTCGGTCAATAATATAATAAATTTAGCCGGAAGCACTCCTATGATGCCATTTATGAACCTAAATGAATAATGTGTTACCTCGCGCTCGCAAATACTGCCGGAATGATCACTATATATACAAGTTCGTTTCGCTTACTAGCGGGGTCTGGTGCTTCTTGGGAAAACAATGATTCAGCACAGCGTAAAGCTAAACATGTGAAGTTAATGAGATCGAAAGATCAATAAACCGAGAATTCATTCTCAAAAATACCACAGAAGCAAGGTTGACCCTTTTGCTTTTTTAGAA